TATTGTCTTTTAAAAAAAGTCTCTGTCATCACCTTCATACTTCCCAGGTCAGGCCTAGGATCCCAGAGTGAATTATTGTTTGGCACCAAGTTTGTTGGCACATAACTGCACATAATACTGTATTGCTCGTCATTAGGTATTTCCTATTAGGGTGTTACAGTCATCCTGAACATTTTCAGGAATTCAAGTGGGATCTTGAATTCAAGTTTTTACGAGGGAGGGGGGAGGAGTAAAATAATTTCACGGGTTATCTAGACCTTTACTTCTGTGCCAGACATCCCAAAAAACTGGGCTCAAGGGACTATGTAGCAAAAATCTGCTTAATCCAGTTGCGATTTCTTTTGCTTTGCAATTTAACTGGAAACAATGCCAGGAGAAAAGAAGATAATATATGTGCAAGTTGGATCCCTGCTAGCATGAGATAGTGCAAAGGTTGTACCTCCTGGTACTTGGGGAACATTTAGAAGGGCCATATTTGTTCTCTGATTGCCTTGCCATTGTGTTATAGTCGGTAAATGCTATTTCTGCTCCCTGAGTTGGCAAGGGAGCCTTCTGAATTAGGATTTCACTGTGGGACACAGACTGAATTGGTGATATTCTCTTGGCTGGGGTTCCTTCCCAGTCAAAGCTGTCCCTCTAGTAGACAATCCCTTTCCCTCAACAGAACCTGCAAGGCAAGTGCAGAATTCCCACTTTAGTAACCTAGGTTTCTTTCTTAATTGCTTACAGACAAAAAGCCCTGGGAGAATGCTCCTTTATTGCTTACACTGCAGTGTTTTCCACCAAATATCTGTATAGTTAATAAAGTTTTCAAAAATATATTGGATTTTCTTTTAGTAAGGCAGTAGCAGCTTATAGCAGGGAGCTAAATTGCTAGTGAGGAAATGCACATTAAAGGAACATTTCGATGTTATTAAAAATAATGTGCAGCCTTTGAAAAATGCAGGCCTAATATGATTTTGAAAGACAAATGAGGAGCTTCAATAAGTTTACAGCCATTGAGTGCCTCCAAGTAATCATTGTTCCTGACATTTTTATGTTTCATTTTTAATTGCTGCAACTAATAATGCTAATGAGGTAAGACTGGCCATGGCTTAGGCATACCAGTAGCAATGGTGAAGGGGAAAATATGGAATTGGCAGCAGTCCTGCTGGACACCTGTTGTTCCTCATCTTTTCCAGATAAAGACCTGAGGCACTCCAAGCCTCAGAGTTCCTCCTCCCTACACAGCCACAGGGAAAATGATGCAGAACGGACCTTTGGGAGTGACAAACCTTCTCTGAGAGAAGTAGCCATGGAAAATCCATGGCTTGTCTTCTCCTTGGAGATGGGTGCTGCCGTTTGACTGTGGTGGACCCAGTGTTACAGCACTTCCGAGACTGTACCAGGAGGGAAAGCAGTTTCATCTTTAGTCCTTGGTGCAGAATTAACCCAAAGCAGATAGTTCTCCTGAAAGATAGCACAGACTTGAACTTTGATTTAGGGGACCTGCAGCTGGATTTATTTGGTGTATGAGTAATTAAAACCTCTAGACTTGCTGTTTCAGCCCTAGTTCTGACCCTGGTTTGATCACTGTATTGTTCCATCCCTAATCCTTTGGTGAGGTTAGAGCAGGTTAATCTCAGTGAAATGTTTGCTTAATTCTACCCTTGCTCATTTGTTCTCTTAATAAAATCTGCATAAAGAACGGAGAAATAATAATAATTCTTTCAGCTTGTTCCAATTATTTTGAGAGCAAAGCTAATTCAGCTGAAGCAGCTTAAGAGCAACTTGACTCTGTTTCCACAGTTGAGGCTCTGTGCCAACAGAAGATGAGACACCTTCTATACTCCAGAGCAGTGTCGATATCTTCCTCTGGTTAAAATCTGGAACGTGCCCATATTTGACTCTTGCATGGCTTTTTCTCTAGTCTTATGCCTTGCTGCAGCTCCCAGACAAGATGATTTAAGGTCTTAGTGTGGACCTTCAGTCGCCTCAGCCTTTCCCAAATATTCGTTCGCGAAGCCTAGCCATGATGATGTCTTGCTGCTCACACCTGCCAAGTTCAGTGTTTCTGTGTCTTTTGCTCCTCTTTTGGACTGCTGTTGTTCCCATGGCCCATTAACAAAGCAGAAGAAATGGAATTGAGTGTATGGGCGTTTACCGTGTCCATCGTGAGAAGCAAAAGGATTTTTCTGTTGTCTCTGTTTCATCAGAAAGCACTTGTGGCTAAGTGACACTTTAGTATGATCCAATATGGTTATTCTTGAGGTTCTCTGTGGTTGGCAGTGAGGCATCACATTTTTACACGCATGAGTGGTCCTGAAAACCAGAGATGTAGATTTCTCCTGTGATGTCTGTGAATATAGGAGTGGGTAAGAAGGTGGCAGTGTCCCTCTGTTGTTGTTCACAGACCACTTCAGTGCTGGGAAAGCATGGAATGGTGTGGCAGAGTTCCTTTCTGGTGACTGGTTGTTACCAGAGGATCTTTCACAGCTGACACAGGACAGAGAGGGAACACCAACTGCCAAACTTAATGGAAGCACAAGCCCAGCCTCATCCCTTACCAAGTGTGGATGCTAGACAGAGGCTGGTGGGTAACAGTGCTTTTTTCTCCTATGCTGGATACTCAGCAAGTTTGGAGGAGGGAGTACACTGTGGGCAAGGGGGCACCTTCATCCCTCTGTGCCACAGGGTTTGCTCCATAGCAACAGGCAGGGATGAGGAACTGGAAAAGTGGAAGAAGAGACTATGAAAAGATAAACACAGCTAGGGGATCTGAAGTAATCTCAGATCAAAGACTTGCCTATGCAGGAAGCTCAAGAAATGGCTCTGGGACATATTCCGCTTATCCTGAAAGCTTTTCTCCTTAGCACTCCCTTGGTCTGCATGCGGTGACCCCATCTGTGAATGTATGGAGAACGTCACACTTAGGCATCTTCCTCTGGAGTAAAAATACTGAATGACATGACATCCATAAGGGATAAAATCTTCTAAGAAGAGTGTGATAGATGGATGTGTTGCCAAAAGGGATGGAAAGGAAGGCATAGAAAAGAAGAGAAAATGTATCTAAGGAAATAAAAGAATTTTAAATTAAACCTGAGTGGAGGGTGTTTGTATGGACTGCAGGCCCTGGCTGTCACAGTGAACACTTGTCTGAGCAGAGAGAGAAGTAGAATAGTTCTTAGTGTCTGCTACATGATGCCTCTCAGTAGAAACTAAAACTTTAATTTTATGATACCTTGAGGGGCCAAATCCAATCTGAGCATTATTACAGTGTTGGCACAACTCAGTCACAGAAGTTCCCCTTTTCTCTTTTTTGCCAGCCAAGCTTTCAAGCGTCAGGAGGGGGAAATCTGCAGCGCCTGAGCTTGTGCTGGCTTCGTTGTGCTGGCTGGGGGTTCACCCTGGTACCTCAGAGAGATGCTCACAGGTGGGTAAGATGGCTCTTTGACTGAACAAGGAGACCTAGCTGAGGTTTACTAACAGAATAATAAAAGCCTCAAAATAGTCAAGGTGATGGCAAGAAAAGGTTCAAAGAAGCATGACAATCTGTGGCTCTGGAACAACAGGGAGCTCCTGCCACAGTGAGAAGAAAACAATACCATATTGGCTGTGGCACTTTGCTGCCGGGAATGCTGCTTTACAGACCATGGGAGAAACCTCTCAAATGTGTTCTGACTTCTGCACTTGTTTGGCGAGCCAAAACTCAAGTCCCTTCCTTGGTTTTTACTTATATCATGCCCCAAAGCATCACAGAAGAGTGGAAAAAAGATTTAAGCCCTAAGAAGAGAGGGCAGGATAGTATTAAGTGGGATTTCAATTTGGGCAGCAAGGAATAACTCTCCTCCAGCCCTATGGATAGTGAATGCACTTAATGGGAAAGCAAGAGAAAGCACATATGACTGGGGCCTTCCCTAAACAGACAAGTCTATTTGTGACATACCCCTGCTCCACATATCTGTCCCAAACCCTTTTTACTCTTTATACCTTTCTCACCTCCACAGAAACACAAAAACAACTGAAATGAGCATAGTCAGAACGACCTCTGAAGTGTGGTGGTTTGATTTCAGCACTAAATCTCCCCTTGATGATTCACAGTGACACTGTATTGCCAATAGATTATAGGGTTGCAGCTATTTTCCACGCAGGAGGAACACAAAGGAACCCCCGCCAGCCCTTGCAGTGCTCTCAATCAAATAAAACCCCTTTAGCTTCCTGTTGCAGAGCTCTCTCTAGGATTCATGTATATTTTATCAAAGTTACACACAGTTCTGATACTTGTTTCTAAAGTGCTTTAGTATGAATCCCAAGATGTACTGAAATGCTGCAGTGGCCCATTTAAAAAAAATCAAGGTTAGAGTAGAGAGAAAAAATGAAATGCCTTGACTTTATAGCATGCAATAAGAGCAAATTCTGCTCAACAGGCTTCTACTGATATAAATAAGCAGAAGAAACACAAACATATATCTCTATGAAATCATTTTACTCCTCTTAATTGTACCCTGAGAGCAGCAGGAACAAAGAGGAACTCCACTGTTTCACCTCTCGTAAGTGAAGGTTCTGCAATGATCTAAAGCTATTTTTTTGCCAGAAGTGTTTTTATGGGCCAACACACATGTCAACTCAGGAGACCTATAACCTCAGCGGTAACCAATTACTCTGAAGATAGTTAATAACAATCTGAAGTAAGGAAAAAAACCCAAACTTGTATTCACCAACTGGGATTTTTTTCCTTTTTTTTTTTTCTTATGTCTTAAGCTAAACTGGGAGATAAAGAATTGCAGTGATCTTTTCAGAAGGAAGGAGTATGTTTATTAAATTTTTAAGCAGCATTTCATGACTCCTTTTTCCTTCAGACATTTCCAAATTTTAGACCAAGAAAGATGGACAGAAAACATGTTCTGGCTACGGTATAATAAGGCATTTAGGTTGAAGTTAGCAGGAGCCAGCATAGTGGAGGGGTGATTTAAATATAAAAAAAAGTATTTTTTTGTATGCAATAAAGCTTTAGTACTTACAGCTGTCCTCTTCTTCAGTAATACACTTCACAACATAACAGGCATAGATGAAGCCTGCCAGCTGAAACAGAATGTAACAGCATTAGATGTCAGGCAAATACAACAGAAAAACAAGAGACAGCTTTAGAAAAGCAACAACAGAAACAGAAACAAAATTCAACAGACTGTCTTTGATGAGATATAAACATAATTCTCTACAACAGTTTAGTAATTTTAATTGGAAATAGTCAGGGGAATTTTGCATCTTTCTTGAATATCACATCCTTTGATAAAACTTCCAAAAATTGACCAAAATTTTTCCAATACCTAATTAACTTCTTTTTAATTATTGAGAACTAGAAAAGCAAATGAGTGGTTGGATGGATGGGCTTTTAGCCACTGATAATGTAAAGATTTCTGTAAAAATCAGATTTCTTATTGAACAAAACCTGGTCCTCTAGCAGAACTTTTTTTAAAGTCAGAACCTTGCCAACTAAACAAAGGACAAATTCAGTGCACTTGTAAACCAGCTTTATAGTGATATTTTATCACTTGAAATTATGGCTGTGGATTAATGGGACTTGTTGCTGTATCTGCAATAGTCCCCAAGCCTCAAGACATATCTACCACTTTGGACAGGTCTGGATGTGTTTACATCAGCATCTCACACAGCAGCTGCAAAATTTGTATCTTGTTCCTTTCAATCCTCTCTGAAAAACATGCCCAGAATTGAATTGTAAGCAGAAGCAATTGGATTTAAAGAAAATGAAAATCTGGAGCAGTTATTGAAGTGCCACCTAAAAAAAATAATACAAAAAGGAATAAATGGCCAAAATCACACATCCAACAGGCCAGGTATCATATGAGTCCTCTGCTAGTCTCTCAAACAAGTTCTGTCATTGCCAAGAAGTCACACCAGAAGTAACAGAACAAATACTGGAACAGCAACACAAGCCATGTGTTCCATGCTTTACACAACTTCCTTAACATCCGGGTCTGGAGAGTTTTCTCTACTAAATAATAATAAATCATTTTTCACCCTTTAGCTCACTGCTGAAATTTGCACAGTAAGACGTCAAAAGAATTCAAGTTGTTTGGTCTCTTTGCAGTGAAAAGTGAACCATGCTGTCGAAATCTGTTATTCTGCACAGGTCATCTCACAGAGATATTTTCATGAGCTGCAAGCCCATCTGTACACTTTGGGAATTAGTTCTTTATACAGATAATAAATGGTGCAAAACCCATAATCTCTGGCTGAGGGAGATGATGCTCTTAATTTCAGTTTGAGTATTCAGTGGGTTGGAGAGTAGAAAAAGTGAAATCTGAGAAACCATTATGAATACTGGTTAGTGAAAATGGATTTTTTTTCATTAATCCAAGGCACATGTACAATTACTGCAATACTGTGGGTTCTTAGAACCCTTAATATTACCCATATACAAATTAAATGCAAACAAATCCATTATATTTCCTAGTACATTCATACCTGAGGCAGTGACTGTGCCTAGTTTACTCCAGCTCTTACACAGATACTCCTGGAATTTCTGTCAGTTTTCTATGTAGAAAGCTCCCCATACCCACAAATGCTAGCTTCTAACATATATATGGGTGAGAGATGGCTAAAGGGAAAAAAAAAGGTCAGCCTCAAGGCTTTTCTGAAGAGATCAAGACTTGATTTGGAGATCACATTGAAGCCAGCATAGATATTGTCTGCTAACTGCTTAAGTTCCATTTGGGAGCCCAGAAGCTGCATTACAACAGAACTAAACCATTAATTTTGTCATTTATTATAAATCTGCCTTATAGTGCTGCTGGGAAGATTTTACACCTGGGAAGGATGAAATATTCACTCCTGGACACAAAGAACTCACTGTACCAAGAACAGTGGCATTCAGCTAATATCAGCATTTCATCTCTGTTTTATTGGATCACTATTCCCTTTCATTTCTTGGCTTCAAGACAGAGGGCTAATTTTCTTCACTGACTTATGCCCTGTATAACCCCATTGACTTCAATGACATTACATGAGGTTTAATTCAGCAACGAAGTAGGCCCAGAAAGGTTGTTCATAAATGATTCCATTCTTGGATGTGAACCTTGGCTTAATAGTTTCTCTGTTCTCTTTTTACAGACCATCAGATCCCAGATAGTTGAATAGTTGCATCTCTAGTAGGCTGCTATGGTAATCCTTTTCTTGCAATACAGTTCAATACTTTACTATCTTCTAAACCACCACGAGTTCACTTATTGTTAACTGAACTTCTCTTACAAAGCACAGCAAACAAACTGTATCACAAATGATGTTTACAGCTGATCTTCTAATTGTATTCAGTTACATCCCTTAAATCTCTAGGGAACTCCTTGGATATACAAGCAAATCCTACAGCATTTCATCAGATGAGCTTTTTGATTAAAAGAGTGTCTTATAGCTCAAGTTGCTCTGATCTAAGTACAAATGGAAGCTTTTTTCCCATGAGATAATCAGAGTTCATAAAATAAACCTCCCCTTCTCCCACATTTATCTAACCCTTTGCTTGGTACACATAATAATTTTGTTTTAATTTAGATCTCACATTAGTTTTTTCTTTTTTCTCTTTTTTTTAATCAAGCAACTTCTCAGTTCTGATCCTGTGACAGCCATTCAAGATTTATCTTCTAATTGCATCAGCAGTAGTGGGCACAAACTCTGAGCTGAGGCTAAGAACCAAAAGTGGCAGCTTTTACTTTGATGATGCTCAATGACCTGAGCCCATGGTGACTACAGAGACCTCTGGGATAGAGATCAGGAACATGCTTTCTCCCCTGTGGACTAGGACTTCCCATAGGAAGGGTATCGCTCATCTACATACGTAGCAGACATTTCTTGGGGATCAGACACCTAAATTGTTAATGAATTCTTGCAAGGATGAAGGGCTCTCACAAAATTTACCACCTTTGTTATAGTGCAAGATGCACATCTTTGACCTTTTGTCTCTAAGAAAAGCACACTGCAATGTACCTCTGTACAGCAGAAAAAAAAAATCCAAACAAAACTCTTCACAAAACACACTCCTCACCCTGGAGAAAAAGATGAGGGAAAAAAACCAAATCAAATTCAAATGATAGAGGTCAGTCACATCACTTAATATATTCCTGGGAAGCCCTCAAACAGCAACGCTCAGTGCAGTATGAGAATTACACAGAGTCTTCCCGATTCAGTATTTCCAAAAGATTTTTATCTTATGTGAGAAAGAAGGAAATGAGTCTTCAGAGATAAAGAAGAGCAGGAGCCTGACTGTCTCAGAAAATCACTTTAGAACTAGGAAATTTAGCTTGAAAACTCTTGTTGCTTTGCATCCCTCCCTATTTATTTTTTTTAATTAACCAAGCTTTGTTTTTTAGAAACCATGCGGTGATAAAAAGAAATAGGTGCAATGAACAGAATATCAGTTCTGGATCCCAGACCCATCAAGATTAGGTGTCTACATCTGTCCCATTCATATTTTAATACTGTATTATGGGCCTCTAGTGAAGAAGGAACCATTAACAACAACTCTGCTCATTTATACATATAGTGATTAGTGAATGCATGTGTTCATGAACCTCATTTTCTGCAGCTTGAAAAAATTTGCTCTCTACAACTGTCCCTGATACATCCATATGAGAGTATAAATGAGTACTGCTCTTTGCCTACACCAGCTCCCTGGGTGTACTTTGAGGGCATCCTGTTGACCCTAATTTTATATACAATGATCTTAAACATTTGGGGTTTTTTTATTGGTTGTTTGGTTTTTTTCCCAATCTATAAACTTGTTGATAAAACCATCTTTCCTTCTGCCAAGTTAAAAAGAAGAGAAGCAAGAGCCTAAAATAAATCAGCAATAAAACCGCACTACTGAAGCTTTGGTAATAAGATTAATTACAGAATAAAGTTAATGCATTTTGTTGCCTTATTATAGATGTATAAGGCCAATAAAAAGTAGATAGACTATTCCCCACCCAAGTCAGCAGTGTCCTGTTATGCTGTTAAAGACTCTTAGCAATCCTGAGTTTCTGTGAGTGTATTTCCAGACTTGCTGAAAATATCAAGTGCTGTAATCAAACTTAATCAGAATTAGTATTGATCAAAATTGTGTCTTTTTTCTCACTTCTTTTATAGCGATGAATGTTTTTATACACTGCAAATAGCACCAGATTTGGGAAAAAAGCAATTATATAAAAAAGCATCATTCCTGGTCAAGGTCCTCACATTTCCCTCTTCTAAAGCAATGTCTGTGTATATAACTATTACAAGCTAACTTTATTGAGCTGGAAACCTGAAACAAAAGTGTGACAGGAAGGAGGAAACACAAACTAAAAGTGGGTAAGATCTGAGTGGGATAAGGTGATGAGGAGAAAACTTGAGATGAAGATTAATGAGTTAAGGTTTATGGAAATAGTACATAGTCTTGGCTTCATTGAATGAATATGTTTTGTTCTATAACCTTACGTGGTTAGGAGAAATGGACCTTAGACTTAAAAAACACCAAACCCTTGTGTTTTCCTATGTGAAAATGTTACAGTATCTTCTGAAACAGCTGAGGCTTGTGTATTTACTTTTCATTATTAAGTTTTTGGTTTTAAGACCTAAGCAAAATATGGGCTAGTTCAAGCAATAATAATGCAGAAATACATGGAGATTAATTCTGGTGCTGGGAATGTTATATTGCAAAGGTTGCTGTGACATGTCTACCCATGTGCAAATTAAATGTTTTTCTTGCAGTGGGCTGCACACATAAAGCTTTGTAATGCTCTACATTTAAGGAACAGTGTTTCTTTAAAATGGATTTTTGAAGTCTGGAGATATATATATATATATCTCCACATTAGAAGCAACTGAAGAAATGGAGAATTACTATCTAGAAAGCTTCCAGTGTATTGATTCTCAGAAGAATAATACTCATTATTTAGCAGGAAAGGTGAGGCTGAGACCTTTCTATCAATAGCTGTAGATTTAAGTTGGTGTCATGGGGGTTCTAAAGCTGCCCCCTACCGAAACCCTTTCAAGCATGATTTCACTGCCTACAGCAGTGCTGCATCAGTGAGTGAATATCATTGCTAGAA